CCTCATGTTCATGAATCGAATTAATGGGCGGGTATCACAGCAATAGCCAATTTTTTTTTTGGGAGCATGCATCATTATACTTCGACAAAGCCCGACATGTTCCAAGCCTCGGTCCATAGCTTTCGCTCGACTCCTTGCCTGAAACAAGGCATACCCTTGTTGGTCGTCGTGTGCCACAGACATATGTCCCGACGGCCATCTAGCCTACTGGGGGAGGATTGGGCGTTTCGTTGCTGTTAGACCTACACCCTTCTATAAGGCAATAACCTTTGCGAACGAAACTGTGGCTAACGAAGCTTTCAATCTTTGTACGGTGGAGACTCTGGGGTCCCGAGAGACCCCAGTATTGACTTTCTCACCTCCATCCTCAAGGTGGCCAATACATAGGACATGGCCAAACTACATCGTAAACTTAAGGTACCTTAATCCAACTCTGACGATATGACAAGGCTGCCCCCCCGGCCGTTCATTGTTCTACGGTCTTCGGGTGCGCCCTAGGTTCATTACTATGACCCGGCTGTACCCTGGCTGTCGAGTCGGCTGGACGTCATTGAAACACAGACAGGTGGGAGTTTCTACCCAGAGACACGTCTGCCTTTGAAATCCGAGCTACACCTTTACCTTGCTAACACGCGCAACTTGGGGGAGCGACACGCCGAAGAAAAGATTCACATTCCTTGCAGTTCAAATGGAGGTGAGGGATGCATGTTCACAACTGGCAGCAGCTGTCACGCAAACAAGAGCTGTGTATGCCGGGGCCCCTCACCCTGCCGAGGGCCGATGGTATGCGTCGCCTGACCTTCCGTTCGCAACCCATCCTCATGCCCCTCGCTCTTCATCCTCACAATCTCGCCGTCCATTGCACGAGTTCTGGATCAATACAGTCGCCAAAATGTCTTTCGTTCGACCTGCTATCTGCAGGGCTTGTCAACAGGCAAAGTTTCGTCCGTTTCGACCAATTCGAGGCTTCGCTACAGCGCACGGCAGTCAACAACCGCCGACTCCACCGCAGTCGCCGCCAGCAGACAACTTCGTCAAGCTGGTCGAGGTTGGACCCCGCGATGGCCTCCAGAATGAAAAGAAGGCCATTCCGTTGGCGACCAAGATCGAATTGATCGAGAGGCTGGCCAAGACGGGCCTGACCGCCATCGAGGCCGGCTCGTTTGTGTCGCCGAAATGGGTTCCCCAAGTACGTCGTCTCTGCAGCCGGTGATGAGGGGTAGCACGTTGCTAACGAGTTGGGTCTAGATGGCCAATTCGAGCGAAATCATGGAGCACATTCTCACAAAAGCCATCTCTTCGCCCTCTCCACTACTTTACTCCTTCCTGGCGCCCAACGCCAAGGGTCTCCAGAACGCCACAGACCTGCTCGAGAAACACCCCGATGCCTTCTCCTCCCTGGTCCGGCCACCCACCGACGTATCTTCCAAGCCAGGCGTGGAGATTGCCGTGTTCGCGGCTGCTACCGAGTCGTTCTCTAAGAAAAACCTTAACTGCGACATCGCCACCTCGCTCGAACGATTTCGCGAGGTCATCCAGAAGGCCAAGTCCAGCGGTGTGCGTGTACGGGCCTACATCTCCGTCGTCCTGGGCTGTCCCTTTGAGGGATACGATGTAGACCCTCACAAGGTCGCAGAGATTGCGACGGACCTGCTCGAGTCCGGTGCCGACGAGATCTCGCTTGGCGACACGACGGGCATGGGCACCGCGCCGAGGACCAAGGCCCTGCTCGACTGCATGCGGTCTGCGGGTATCCGTAACGAGGATCTGGCAATGCACTTTCACGACACGTACGGCCAGGCGCTGGTGAACACGGCCGTCTCGCTGGAGCATGGCATCAGGACCTTTGACAGCAGCATTGGAGGACTTGGTGGGTGCCCCTACAGTCCTGGTGCGACGGGCAACGTAGCCACGGAGAATATGGTGTACTTCTTGAGCACGCTCGGCATGGAGACCGGCGTCGATCTAGATGCCGTGTCGGATATCGGAGCTTGGATCACGGGCGAGCTGGGCAAGTCAAATGAGAGCACGGTGGGCAAGGCGGTGCTGGGAGCGCGCTCCAGGGCGTAGATGGGCGAAGGAGACTGAATTTCTTATGTAAAAGAAGATGGCAATAAAATCCGAACCCTCAATTCCATTGTGGTGTCAAAGTCACAATGCCACGAAAAGGAAACCTCGACCTTCATTCGCACCTCAACAGTCATGTGATGTCACTGACAGCTCCACACGGCACTATCTTATCGCGGTCCAAAAAGCTGGCTGAGCTTACCGACCTGGGCGGGCAGCTGCCTCCTTGCTGCTGAGGCACCATTGCGCAGCCGGCGCGGCTCCACCGCCCAGACAGCCAGTGGAGCGGAGGGTCCAGTGCAAGCTCCAACTCCAACCTCTCCTCCAGCTGCATTGCTGCATCACCTTGCTTCTCAAGCCGAACCAGGTCCCCGTCCCTCATCGCCGACCGCACCCTTCCCGCCCTCTCGCCTCGCCTCGCATCCCCTTTCGAAAACCCCTTCCAAGGGCGCTGGTCAGCAACACAACCGCCCACCATGTCGGACCCGCGAGACTCGTCCTCCTACTCCATCCTGCCCCGAATTCGCTACAACACTGTCGGTGGCGTCAACGGCCCCTTGGTCATCCTCGAGAATGTCCGTTCCACAACCCTCCGACACTCGTTCCCAGCATACAGAGTCTGACATTCGAGCAGGTCAAATACCCCAAGTACAACGAGATTGTGAACATCACCCTTCCCGATGGCACACAGCGATCCGGCCAGGTTCTCGAGGCTCGAGGTATTTACCCGATAACGCCATGCGCACGATTGCAATGCTGACATGACGCCCTAGGTGACCGAGCCGTTGTTCAGGTGCGCAAGCATCAACGAGGATATGCCTCATCTGGTACATTGACTGACAGCTGGATAGGTTTTCGAGGGCACCACCGGCATTGACGTGAAGAAGGTATGGCAGCCCCTCCAACGAACACCAGGAGTCACCCCCACTAAACAATGCGCAGACAAAAGTCGAGTTCACCGGCCAGAGCTTGAAGCTCGGAGTGTCCGAGGACATGTTGGGTCGTGTCTTCGATGGTTCCGGTCGCGCAATTGACAAGGGCCCCAAGGTCCTCGCCGAGGAGTACCTCGACATCAACGGCAGTCCCATTAACCCCTTCTCCCGAGTATGTCATCGCAAGCTGCGCCCATCGTAGAAGGAACGCTGTGCTAATTTCCTCAGGAATACCCCGAGGAGATGATCTCGACCGGTATCTCTGCCATCGACACGATGAACTCGATTGCGCGTGGCCAGAAGATTCCCATCTTCTCCTCCGCCGGTCTGCCTCACAACGAAATCGCTGCGCAGATTTGCCGACAGGCTAGTTTGGTCCAGCAACAGGGTGTTACCAACAAGGGCGTGCACGATGGTCACGAGGAGAACTTCTCCATCGTTTTCGGTGCCATGGGTGTCAACCTTGAGACGGCCCGTTTCTTCACTCGCGATTTCGAGGAGAACGGCAGTCTGGAGCGTGTCACTCTCTTCCTCAACCTCGCCAACGACCCTACGTATGTCGCTTTCCATTATGCACGCGCGAGCATGACGCTAACAAGCAAACAGCATCGAGCGTATCATCACCCCCCGTCTCGCCCTCACCACCGCCGAATACTACGCCTACCAGCTCGAGAAGCACGTTCTGGTCATTCTTACGGATCTGTCCGCCTACTGCGACGCTCTTCGTGAGGTCTCCGCCGCCCGTGAGGAGGTGCCCGGTCGTCGTGGTTTCCCCGGTTACATGTACACGGATTTGTCGACCATTTACGAGCGAGCTGGTCGTGTCTCGGGCCGTAACGGTTCCATCACCCAGATCCCCATTCTGACCATGCCCAACGAGGACATTACCCACCCCATTCCCGATCTGACTGGCTACATCACGGAGGGCCAGATTTTCGTCGACCGACCCATGTACAACCGTGGTATCTACCCGCCCATCAACGTTCTTCCCTCGCTCTCTCGTCTCATGAAGTCTGCCATTGGCGAGGGCATGACCCGCAAGGACCACGGCGATGTTTCCAACCAGCTGTACGCCAAGTACGCTATTGGTCGTGACGCCGCGGCCATGAAGGCTGTCGTCGGTGAGGAGGCGCTGTCCAACGAGGACAAGCTGTCGCTCGAGTTCCTGGAGAAGTTTGAGCGCCAGTTCATCGCCCAGGGACCCTACGAGGCACGCACCATTTTCGAGTCGCTCGACCTCGCGTGGAGCCTGCTCCGCATCTACCCCAAGGACCTGCTTAACCGTATCCCCGCCAAGATTCTCAACGAGTATTACCAAAGGGCGGCGAAGGAGGCCAAGGACAAGCAGAAGCAGCGTGACCAGGTGCAGCAGAACGAGGAGAACCTCATCGACGCATGAGAGCGCTGATGAGTCTTGGTGAGGCTGAGTCGGGTTTCAAGGAGGCAATTCCAGCGGGCGTGTGTGCAGTTGGTAATGGGGGCTCAGAGACAGGCCCGCCTTTGTGTATCCGTAAGGGAGGCGATGGACGTTCAGACCTATGTTTGCATTGAATATTATAGTACCGCACATTGACCAGAAATGCGGAGAGTGCTTCGATTGTGACTGTAGGCCTGCCTCTCAGGCGTGTTCGCTATTGAGAAAGTTCCGTTGAAGCGCGACAGGCAATCTCAACTTCTTCATTTACGGGTTTCTGAGAGGAACTGTATCTCGAGAATGTAGTCTCTTTCTGGTCCAGCCGGAGCAAACCGGTGTGATTTTAGAACCCGATATTGGAGATGGATGTGGAATTGATTGGTTGTTCATCGCTCCGCGTTGAGTTCCAGTCTCTTGAGAATATTTTTAAGGGCGCCTCACTACAAATCCCTTTTGAACGCATACGATTGATGATTATGCCGTTTATTACGCATGATCTACCCACTTGAGCATTTTCCAGATGGAGTCGAGAGTGAAATGGTGATAGTCTGACGGAGGGAAATCGATTCCAAAGGGCGTCACGTGCTACAGCTCACCCAAGGTGCCACCTCTTCTGGGGAGCTCAGCCTCAACCAACCACCACGCCGGACGACGTCACGCACTAAGGCATACGCATCCCCCAGCTTCACCCCACCACCAATCCACGAACCACCCCCCATCCGAGGAACGATCCCGCGCCCCTCCCCCGACGTGCTCCTTGCCAGATCCAAGGGTCGCTTATCCTGCACCAAACCCGCGCATACCGAGATCAGTACCGACCCCGCCATGTCTATCATTCAGCAACACACCTCGGCGTCGCTCGGCGACCAATGGCGCACCATCAACATCGACGCCCTCGAGGAGGACTCGCCCTACAACTTTGACACCTCGACTCTGCACCCTCCGCAACCCGAGGTCAGCGAGGCAGAGGTCCGTGGACTCGCGGGGCAGGTCCGCCAGCTCCTCCGCGGCGGCGACCCCGAGGGCGCACTGCGCGGCTGCCTTGAGTTCCCCGTCTACAACGGCCCCGACGCCGCCAAGGTATGCCGGCTCCCTTCTTCGTGAACGAACCAAACCAAGCAGCTCCGAAGCCAGGTGTTTCTTTTTTGAAAGAACTGGCTGCGGGCTTGTGTTGTCGAGGCCGGTGCTGACAGGAAACGCAGGACGCCCACCTCCAGACCATCACCGAAGTTCTCCAGTCCATCAAGGCGTCGGAGATGACCCCGCTCCTCAAGAGCATCTACGGCTCGCCCGGCGGCGCCGAGCTCCTCGACGTGCTGATGAAGTACATCTACAAGGGCATGGGCGCCGCGGCGCCGCCGGTCAGGTCGGCGGGCAGCAGCGCCGTGACGCCGCAGGCGACGGGGTTCAGCCAGATTGGCGGCGGGCGGCCCGGCGCCGCGAACGAGAGCGTCGGTGCCGCCATGAGCGTGCTGCTGAGCTGGCATGAGAAGGTCGTTGATGTGGCGGGACTCGGCAGCATTGGCAGGACCATGACGGATTGGAGGCGGGTGTAGAAAGGAGGTGAGACGAAAAGGAAGCTTAGCCGTTGTGTTTTCAGGGGAGAGCAACGATGAATGAATGATTGCAAGCTTAGACTATTGATTGGTGTCCAAACGTGGTATTCTCGCTTCGCTTCTTTGAGCGAAAGGGCGCTGATCCTGTTGCCATCCCCTGAACCTAACCTGTCCTCTATATGTACATTTTTGCCTACTTTACATAACATGCAACCCCGAACCAATGTGTGCGACTGTCTATTCCGTGGATAGAATATCCTTGAGGTTGATCTCACCGCTGCCCCGCGGTAACGGCTTGGACTGATTATCACCCTCGTGCCACCCAATCATGAAGATGATGCGGAACGTCGCAGGGATGCTGCCGTCCTCATTGCCATGGAGCTCTCGGTAGATGGCCTCGTTCGCCAGCAGTACATCCCTCCCGATGGGCCCCATCTCGCGGCCGAGCACGGCATTCGACTCGCCCATGGCCTGCAAATCCTGCATCAGGGCAAAAGTGTCCGGGTAGTCGACAATGATGTCCTCGACATCGACGGTGAGCAGCTTGAAGCCGGTCCGCTGCAGCAGACCACCCATGTCCTTGACGTCGGCGAGGGGGCTCACGTGCGGCGAGATGCCGCCCCTGCGGTCCTGGTCCGCGAGCTGCAGACTCGTGCGAAGCTCATAAAGGCTATCACCGCCGAGCATGGCGCACATGAAGGGGGCGTCTGGCTTGAGGACGTTGTTGATCTGGGTGAGGACGCCGGGCAGGTCGTTGATCCAATGCAGACTCATGGAGCTCAAGACGAGGTCAAAGGTGCCGGGGGCATATGGGAGAAACTCCTCGTTATCGAGAACATCGCGGGTGATGGTGATGTCTTTGTTGAAGGGTAGGTCGGCATCGCGGTGGAGGAGAGTGCTGGAGGATTCGGCGGCAACCAGCTCCTCAATGCGCGTCGCGAGAGGCGGGCTGATGGGGAGGGCTGGATCGGGATCGGGATTCTCTGCCGTTAGGGCGCGGGCAATGTTGCATGAATTGGCGCCGAGGTCGAGGACCTTGGGAAAGGAGCGATTGATATCCTGGATGAGGGGTCAGCCTATACCTCGATGGAGGCGTCGTATCTGAGGCGGGGCAGAGCGTACCAGTAGACGCTCGCAGAGTCGCCTGGCCACCTCGTCCTTGAGGTAGTCAGACTCCCGGCTGGCTTCAGCATCAGCGGCGGCACGCTCCTTTTGCAGCCATTTTGTGTGGCGGTTGAAGACCTGGAAAGTTGGTGATCCGCCGGCTTGGAATGCGTAGGAGCGGCGAGGTGCAGCGCGGACGACAAGCTTGGTGGAAGCTCGGAGCCAAATTGATGAAGCTTGCCCGAGGGGGCGCAGGGATCTCAATGTCTGATGCATCATGTAGGGAAGACGGGCGCACTTCGCCCTCACATGCCGGAGATGGATATAGCCGCCTACTCGTCCGTCGTCAGGGTTGGAGGTGGGTGCGACGGAGAGATTGAAGAGCGTACAAGCTTCGAGTTCGCCAAAGTCGATGATGGCACCCACACCTCAGAGCAGCTGCAGTTTGGATTCCAGGGTGGAGACATGCACAGGCCATGTACCTCTGCCGTTGTCTTTCATCTCGACTTGGTGTACTGTACCTAGGTACCTACGGTAGGTACCTTACCTCACAGCAGTGTCTGGGCGGATCGTGCATGCATAGAGAGGTCAGCCCAGCACCAGACCACATGAAAGGAAGTGGTGGGATGCGCATGCGGTTTATCCAAGTCCTGAGAAGGATGTTGAGCGTTGCTTCTATTGAACAGTACATTCAGTGGGCGATGTATATACATGTACCTCAAGACTTGGCTCACGATCAATCGTCTCCCCAAAACAACCACACGCCGTGGCAAGTGGAGTCCGATGGGTGCCCATCATTAGTAACCCCCTAAGATACCCTAGGCTGACCCTAGACCACGCCCCCTAAAGCCCCAGTCGGAGCCCCCCTCTCCAGCGTCTGTACTGTAGAATGAGCACGAGCACCAACGCCAGGACCCCTGGTCGCTAACGAAGAGAGACGGAGTATCCATCCTCTCGATTCTAGATGTGGTCGCCGTGGACAGTGGCACATCGTAACACCACTTTTTGGGCCCTCAACCACGTCTCTCGCCGTGATCGACAGCCATCTTGCTCCTGGCGCGCACTTCTGCAACACCAATCCCGTCGCTAGCCACCCTGCCGACCAATCCTCCAAAACCCCGAGCTCCGAACGACACGACCTGACCGCCAGTCGACCATCTCCCAAAGCCCCCCCCACCACCACCAGACTGAACCAAAGTGCGACAGCCGGTTCGGCCGGGCACACATCACCTGTGCCGGTCCACGACTGACGACCTTGCGATTCCCAAGCTCTGCGCGTATGGAGTAAGGGATACGATCGAAGCAGAGCTCTACTCTGACCACGACGATTGACGGCGGCGCCAACATCCGTACTAACCAACCGACCAACGCGAGATTCCTGTAGCCGCCACAACCCTCCGCCCCTTTCCATCCACAAAATGTCGGCCGTAACGGGTGGCTTCCTCGGCCGGTCGAGTAGTAATACGGCCAATATGCGAGGCCTCGTCCAATTCATTGCCGACTTGCGAAACGCTCGAGCGAGAGATCTCGAAGAGAAGAGAATCAACAAGGAACTGGCCAACATTCGTCAAAAGTTCAAAGGTGCGCACAATGTGACCCCATCACCTGGCTGAAAGGACATGCTGGACGTCAAATACTAAGGGTACATCAGATGGCAGTTTGAGCGGCTACCACAAGAAGAAATATGTTTGCAAGGTACGGGTTGATTGTGACATGCCGTCTAGCCCAACCCTTGATCGAGACTAACAACTCTTTTCAGCTGCTCTACATCTACATCCTCGGATGGAACGTCGATTTCGGCCACCTCGAGGCCGTGAACCTCATTTCAGCAACCAAGTATTCTGAAAAGCAGATTGGTTATCTCGCCATGACCCTCTTCCTCCATGAGAAGCACGAGCTGCTTCATCTCGTTGTCAACAGTATCCGGAAGGATCTACTGGAGAACAATGAACTCTTCAACTGTCTCGCTTTACACGCCATTGCGAACGTTGGTAGCAAGGAGATGGGTGAGGCCTTGAGCAGCGAGGTCCACAGGCTCCTGATCTCTCCGTACGTCTCATTGGAAATCATCAACGTAGAAATGTGATACTGACGCTTGGGCAGTACATCCAAGACCTTCGTGAAGAAGAAGGCAGCTCTGACTCTGCTGCGCCTGTACCGCAAGCACCCCGAGATTATCCAGCCCCAATGGGCTGAGCGCATCATATCGCTCATGGATGATCCCGATCTGGGCGTGGCTTTGTCAGTCACATCCCTCGTTATGGCCCTAGCACAAGACAACCTTGAACAGTACCAGGGTGCTTACGCCCGGGCTGCGATCAAACTCAAGCGCGTCGTTATTGACGGCGAGTTCACACCCGACTACCTCTATTACAAAGTACCTTGTCCCTGGATCCAGGTCAAGCTACTGCGCCTCCTGCAATATTTCCCCCCGTCTGGTAAGCACTCGAAGCCAAGCCGCTATGGTATGATGGTGGTTCAGCGTGCTAACAGAAACAGAGGATACCCATGTCCGCGACATGATTCGAGAATCTGTTCAGAAGATTCTCAACCTTGCCCTTGAGCAGACCAAGAACGTTCAGCAGAACAACGCGCAAAATGCCGTGCTGTTCGAGGCCATCGATCTCGTCATCCACTTGGACACGGAGACTGCCCTTATGAAGCAGATTTCCTCTAGGCTGGGACGTTTCCTCACTTCACGGGAAACCAATGTTCGCTACCTGGGCCTCGAAGCCATGACGCATCTTGCCGCGCGGGGCGAGAACCTGGAGCCTATCAAGCAGCACCAAGATGTCATCGTGGGGTCCCTCAAAGACCGGGACATCAGTGTCAGGAGGAAAGGCCTTGACCTTCTCTACAGCATGTGCGACACGTCCAACGCCCAGGTCATTGTTGGCGAGCTTCTGCATTTTCTGCAAAACGCCGACTTTGCTATTCGCGAGGAGATGGTGCTGAAGATTGCTATCCTGACGGAAAAGTACGCCACCGACGTTCAGTGGTATGTCGACATCTCGCTGCGACTGATCGCCATGGCCGGCGACCACGTCAGTGACGAGGTCTGGCAGCGTGTGATTCAGATTGTGACCAACAACGAGGAGTTGCAGGTCTACGCGGCCCAGCACTCACTTCAGTATGTCAAGCAGGACCACTGCCACGAGACGCTCGTCAAGATTGGTGCGTACATCCTGGGCGAGTTTGGTCACTTGATCGCCGACCAGCCCAAGTGTAGCCCGATTGAGCAGTCCTA